TAACCGCACATCTTATTAACCTACCCGGACGACGCTGAAGTCCAGTTTGGCCTCCTGAGCACATTGCAGTATCAGCTGGAAGCACGCCTTGCTCTGATTGGTCATCCCATTGTCATAGTAACGTTCCAGGATCCTCTGCTGCTCAGCTGTAAACACGGACCGCAGGTTCATCTGAGACACAATCAGGACGAATGGTGAAGGGAAAAAAAACTTGAGTCTCTTCAAAAAACAAGTTACTTGCTGTATCTCAAACAACGTAAGAGTGTCACTTTAATTTAATCACAATTGATTTTTAATGCACTCACAGTCTGCAGGCCACGCCTTTGTGACCACGCATCCATTCTGCTGCTGGAGGGAAAAGAGGCAGCCATGCAGATCACAGCAACACCTCCATTTGTAYAGAAAAGCACTGGTTTGTTAGGACTGTTGTCATCTTGCGTCAGTGCGCCTGGCACACCTCCGGGTGATGCAGCTGAGAGGAGCGAGAGAACACTTTTTACATGCCAAACTGGTAAACAGGTCTAATAGCGTTTCTTGGGGGGAAAATGCTTACTACCTGAAAACAATGGTGCAATTTGTTAGAGCTCAGTAATAAAAAGTGATATGGATGACTCTCAGCCACTACTTCAACAGGTTTTAGCTCAGTCTCTGTAAAGTTGACTGAATTATGCCGGTTTTTGTTGATTAGCTGTGGGGGCCACCAGGAATCTGGCCGAATCCAAAAGTTAATCAGCTGTAGMTGTACATCCAGTTATTACTTTCTGATTACTACAACTTGTTCAGGGGTTAACTGCAAACTATTATTTTAAAGCCATATTTTTTTTACATTCAAATCATTCAGTTGGGGTCTATATAAAGTGGACAGTTTCTCCTTATTGTAACTCCACAAGCCCCTCTTTCACCCCTTTTCTGAGGTGTGTTTTAAAGCAGCTCATTTTGATTCTCTGTCGCATAGGGCTGCCACGATTAATCGACGACTAATCGATTATTAAAATAATCGATGACTAATTTAATAATCGATTAATCGTTTTCTTTTTTTGTTCTTTCCTTTGTTTTTCTCTCCAAACTGCTTTGACACCTTCCACTGCCACGTCTGCCTTTCTGTCCTTGACACACATG